ATCTCTGGTTACTGCTCAGCCTTCGCCTTTCTACAGAAAAGAAAAATAGCCTATTCACACTTAAAATCTCTTTGTCCTCTGGATCCGACTTGCAAATAAATGGATTGAATAAATTCTAAACTCACTCGGTTGCGGACACAAGATCCTTTACGATGTTCTACTCAAAGACATAAAGAAACATTCACAATCCATTGGTATAAAAACATTGCTTAAAGACAATGCAGCCCAGAGTGATTTACTTGCTAGGAAATGGAACATCGAACTAGGCAAATTCTAGATGTTGAGGTACGTTTAAATAACCAGTGACTTGCAGCACAATCAAAAAAATGTGGGGTTTCAAAGAATGAGGACTGCATAAAATTGTTGCAGGGCACAACAAAATAAACGTTTCCCCAAGGCTGGAGGTGGTTTCTAGGGAGAAAATTCCAAAAGTGTTCTGAACAGACAAAAAGAAGGACTTGCACTTCTATAGCACCTTTCACTCTTTCAGCATGCACTCAGAGCCAATGAAGTGCAGTCACCATTGTGATGGAAGAACCGCAGCAGTCAATTTGCGCGCAGCAAGCTCCTGCAATGATGTATTATGATAATGACCAGATAACGTGTTTCTTTAGTGATGTTGGTCGAGGAATAAATATTTGGTCAGGACTCCAGACAGATTGCAGTAGAGGCCAACAGATCTTTTGCATACACCCAAAGGGACAGACAGGGATCTTAGCGGATTAAAAACAGAGGATGCCGGAGAAACTCAGCAGGTCTGATGGCATCTGTGTAGGGAGAAACAGAATCAACGTTTCTGGTCTAGTGACCCTTCTCCAGGACCAGGTGTACCTTGGTGTAATGTCTCATTTAAAGACAGCCCCGGTGACTCAGTCAGCACTGCAAGTGGTTTAAGTGCTCGAGTCTTTCTCCCCACAACCTACTGTTTCAGAGGCTAGGACCCTACCACTGAACTCCAGCCAACATTGCAATTTAGGACACAAAATAGGCTAGTGAGTCAGTGAATTTGAGGGCATGGGTTATAAAGTAGAGCTGGTGGGGGGTGTGAGTTTAAGCATTAATTTAATAGTGAGGGTAAGAATTTTAAATCTGCAACAATGGAATCCACAATACGTGTCAGTGAAAATGGGAAGATTTATTATGGGAAAATGAAAGAGTGATTTTGTTTGAAAACAGTGATTCTATTGCATTTGTGTGACCAAAGTAGATATTTTTGAAAGATCCTAATGCAACAACAATTGGCCTAAAGGGGAATCTGATACAGGTCACTTCCTGAAAATATCTGTGATTGGATTGCAGGTACGTCAACCATTCAGCTGGCCATTCATCCCCTGTCAGGACTCCATGCTATAAAAATCAGCCTCACAAATTAGATTTTAACAAGATAAAAACTGAATGAACAACTGGAGATACTGTAAATCAGAAACAAAAAGGAAAAATGTGGAAGCATTGGAAAAGGTGCAGAAGAGATTTACCAGGGCGTTGCCTGGAATGGAGGGAAGGTCTTACGAGGAAAGGTTGAGAGAGCTAGGGCTTTTCTCTTTAGAACAACGAAGGATGAGAGGTGACTTGATAGAGGTGTACAAAATGATCAGAGGTATAGATAGAGTAGACAGCCTTTTCCTAGGGTGGAAGTAGCTATTACGAGGGGGCATAGTTTTAAAGTAAGTGGAGGTAGATATAGGGGAGACGTCAGAGGTAGGTTCTTTACTCAGAGAGTGGTAGGGGCGTGGAATGCATTGCCAGAGAGGGTAGTGGAGTCAGCCTCATTAGGGGCATTTAAGCAGCTATTAGATAGGCATATGGATGGTAGTATAAGGTAGGGGTGGAGGTTAGATAGACCTTAGGTTTAGGGTAAAAGTTTGGCACAACATCGTGGGCCAAGGGCCTGTACTGTGCTGTACTGTTCTATGTTCTAAAAACAGAAATTGCTGTTTTAAGAAAGGGTCACTGGACCCAAAACATTAACTCTGATTTCTCTCCACGGATGCTCCCAGACCTGCTGAGCTTTTCCAACAATTTCTGTTTTTGTTTCAGACTTTAACAAGAGTTGCTTTCTGCGTAATGAGAAGACCTTTAAAAATGACCTCAGTTGGGTCCCTGGTTAACACACTAAATAAAAACTGAAAGAACTGCGGATGCTGTAAATCAGGAACAAAAACAAGAAATTGCTGGAAAAGCTCAGCAGGTCTGGCAGCATCTGTGAAGGAGAAAACAGAGTCTGGTTCTGAGGAAGGGTCACCAGACCCAAAATGTTAACTCTGTTTCTTTCTTCACAGATGCTGCCAGACCTGCTGAGCTTTTCCAGCAACTTTGTTTTTGTCCCAGGTTAACTCAGCTGGTTTCTTTCACTGTGTTTGAAACAATGGTTCAGAAAAGTTTGGAAACTCTATCTGGTTGACTGGGATCAATCCTTTATTAAGTATTTTCACTGGGTGTGGATCATCTTACAGCGGCCCATTTTATGGTTAAACAAAACTCTACCAGGTATGCAAAACATCAGAGTTAAGACTGAATGTGCAGCATAGAAAACTATTCCATCCCTCCGCAATCAACTAATTTTTCTATTTCTTTCCCCCTCGTATGTTTACTTCCACATAAGAAATTACTTTGTTCTGAAAGCACCTGTAATTGCGGAGTGCAGGTTCATGTAATTTCACAAATTGTGCAATTGCTTATAAACCTTGATAACTTTCATATTTCTGAGTTTCTCTGCTGTACAGCTTACATTTATATAGTGCCTTTCATCCCAAGGTGCTTTACAGAATCATTAATGCACAAAATCTGATGCTGAGCCACGCAAAACAACATTGGGACAAGTGGCATGTGCTTAGTGAGAGAGGTCGGGTTTAAGCAGTGTCTTATAAAGGACAGGGGAGTGGGGAGGGAATTCCAGAGCTCAACCCCTCAGCATCTGGAGGCACAGCCACCAACAAGAAGGAAGTGCGCCAGGGAGAAAGACTTTGTAGAGACGAAGCACAAACAAACAAGATTTTCAAGTACTCTAGAGGTTTACAAAAGTATTGATATACTGTACATTCCAGCAGCGCAGGCACATAAATGGTTCAAAAATGATGCTGTCACTCTGTCACAAGTGACACCAGTCATACTGGTAGCTGCAAATTAAATAAAATTACCTCAATGGCAGCAACCAAAATTGAACACATAGCATCTTAAATGCATGATAGACCTGCCAATCAAAATAAGTTTTGTTGTCATATTTGCCAATGCACAGTGACTCTCAGAAGGTCACCTTCACAATAAACATTTTCCTTCCCTCACATCACGATCAGGCAACATTACTCTCAAAGAGGGGCCTGGAAACTTTCCTTCTGCACAAAACGTCTTGTCCTACACTTGCTCTTCTACACAAGTACTCAATGGCTTTTCCAAGAACCACAGGTTCCAGAAGTGGCACCCTCAGAGATGCACAAAGTCACCTCATCTGCTTGGAGGAAAGCGTTATAATTTAAAAATAAACATAATTGCATCCACATTGACTGTAGGAATTGCATGCATTTTTCTGATGAAACCACAGCCAGTGTTGGAAGATCCTGAGGGGTTCTAACAGGGTGGATGCGGACACAGTGTTTACCCTTGTGGGAGAATATTAGGACCCAAAACATTAACTCTGATTTCTCTCCATAGATGCTGCAGACCTGCTGAGTTTTTTCCAGCAATTTCTACTTTTGCTTAGAACTCAGGGTTACTGTTTCAAAATAAGGGGTTGCCCATTTAAAACAGAGATGAGGTGAAAGAGGGACAAGAGTCTTTGGGACTATCTTCCTCAAAAGACAGGGGTAAACAGTTACTGATAAAGCTGAAAGATTATTGGGGACTGTGGAATAATCAGATTAGTTGCAATCTTACGGAATGGCAACGTAGAATCCACGGGGTGAGTGGCCTAGTCATGCCCCCTGTTAGTGTATTCAGTTGAATCAGAACGGCAACAAGGATCTGTAATCCAGATGGACAGAATGCTGGCTAGAAAACACCTACTCCCACTCCTAATTTCTATTTTACCGTCTGACCTGCATTTATCCCATCAGACGGCCAAGGGTACAATATTTATTTGGCATAACGAGCAGAGCTGAGGTTGTTGCAAACTCCTTGGGATTGATAGTTGGGTTAACAGATCCTTTTTAATGTTTTTTGCAAAATTTTAAAACAAGAATGCACACACTGACACATGAAAATAAATCAGGAAAGAAGCACTTGCCCAGGGATTGATTTACAACTGGGAATCTGGAACTGATTTACAGCCAGGCCCCCGGAATCTTAGATTGATCACCAGTTGTGCCCTAGGAATCCGGGATTGATAGACAGCTGGGGCCCGGCAATCAGGGACTAATTGACATCTGGGTCCAGGGAATCAGGGATTGATTGACAGCCGGGTCCTGGGAATCAGGGATTGATATACAGCTGGGTCCCTGGAATCAGGGATTGATAGTCAGCTAGAGCCCTGGAATCAGGGATTGAATGACAGCTGGGGACCTGGGAATTAGGGATTGATTGTCAGCTAGAGCCCTGGAATCAGGGATTGAATGACAGCCGGGGACCTGGAATCAGGGATTAGACAGCCAGGTCCCCAGGAATCAGGGATTGATAGACAGCTGGGGACCTGAAATCAGGGATTGATAGACAGCTGGATCCCGGGGAATCAGGGATTGATAGACAGCTGGGGACCTGGAATCAGG